TTGTGCATGTTCCCAAACGGGTGACTGTTTTGTGGGTTTTGTTCTTAGGTCTCCCTGATGCCTTAAATTGTACACAGGTCGCTTGTGGGGTGGGGTGGGGGACATCCTTTATAATCATTTTGACGAGAGATGTGTTGGAGCGAGGCGGGTGTGGCGATGTCCAGTGTGGGAGGAAAAGTCTCTCGTAGGCAGAGGGCAGAACTTCTGCCGTGGGGCACACTGTGTGTTTGGGAATTGGGGGGGGGGTTCCTCCTGCTGGTGCGTGTTCAGCTGCAACAGCTCTGTCAGTGTGGAAGGAAGCGTCAGTGGGGGGGGGCTTGGAACCGCTGCTGCTGGCTGGGCTGTGCGAGGCTGCTGCGTGGCAGGGGCCACTGGAGTCGGCGGGGCTCACCCGCTTCACCCTCGGGAGGGGGGCCTGCCCCCTCCCCACCCGGACTCGTTGAGACTTCTGCTCGACTCCCGACTTCTAGCCATCCTCTGCCAAGCGGGGGCTAGAAGCGCATCTACCTCCCCCTGCCGTCGGCGTCTGCACAGAGGCGAGACGCCCCTTCCCTGGAGTATTACAAGAAACTGTGAACGGGGAGGCCCGGAAGCGGCCGTGGCGGAGAACTCTGACTCCCGGCTCCTCCTCCTCCTCCTCCTGAGAGTGGAAACATGTTTACAGACTTCACCGTTTTTCTGGTGCAAAGCAGGGCAGACCTTTGAGGCGGGGGGCGAAAGAGCGGCTGGTTCTCCCGTCCTCCAGGCTGCGGAATGTGTCAGGTGGATCCGCCGCCCCCTCCACGGACTTCAGCAGAGGGGGCACAAGCTCCTCCCTCTCCAAGATGGGGGGGCCAGGCTGCCTGCAGGACTCCCTGGAAAGAGCGAGGCAGCGTTGGGCCGGCTCGAGCCGCCACGGTCACCTCTTGCCGGCGTGTGGAAGGCGGAGTGGCAAGCCATCTTCGAAACTGGACCGTGGGCTGTTGCTGCCCCCCCCCCCGGCTCCCGGGGGGCAGGACTGTTGAGATCTCTGCTGTATATACTGCACCCCTCTTTTGCTTGCCTCTCCTCCAGACTATGTAGGAACCGTTTGGCTGTCAATATGGTATGTGTATAGCCCTAGGCGTAAGATGCC